GAATTCCATTTGGCTGCACTAAGTAATCAGGAGACCAGTAGCTCCTCTAATAATGATAACATTGGTAGCGCGCAGGCGGCAAAGCCGACTGACTGGGTTCATATTCCATCATTCAACCATTGTTTGTCAAATACGAAGCTGAAAGAGTCACTCTGAAGCCTGTGTCTCCAAGAAATTATGCACGCCGTATCGGTTTATCAACTTGAACCGTGGGAACTGGCTGCGCGATATCAAGACTTATAGCGCCCGCACGCTTATTAGCACTTGACAAGAACCGCCTTCGTCCTGCCCTTGATTTTCCCGATCGATAGGTATGTTTTGAATCCTTGCGTGTCCTCATAATTCGCGATTCTGAGTCAACTTGAACTCGGCTGGAGATTGTCGATTACGCTTGGATCATGGCAGTGTCAAATCCATTTGCAGGATTCAAGTCGCAGATCATCCTCCACTGGCATGGTTGTCCCGCCTCCGGATCACCCCCACGAAAGGTCCACAGTTATCCGATATGGGCCTATATGCAAGGATTGGCTCCATTACAATCGATCCCGCAGTCTCTAGATGAGAAATGACGTCTCCCTGGACATATTGCTTTCCAGGCTCCTGATGTTACTTCCCTTCCTTCGTTCTCTGCCCTTGACCAGGATCATCATCGCATATGACCCCCGATTTTGAAACTGACTGCCGCATCTGCGACCCCATTTACACGATTATGGTGTCAACCAGGGCGCTGGCAGGGGGGAGGTTTGAGAGAATGGAAAGTTTTGTTGTTGAAAGGAGAGTCGGGCGCACGTCATCCCGGTTACGCGACTATCGGAGTATGTTCCGCTTGGCTCCCGAATGCGGCGCAATCACCGTTGTATGGTCCTGCTCGCCCGCGCTTATATACCTGGCTGTATTCTCGTACTATTTATCTGATCCTGCTTTGCCCCTTGATCTCGACCTTCTAACATTTGTGACCTCCCGGGAGTCCGAATGTGTACACAGCCCTGAGAGCTTAAATGTGTTCGAGGCAGATGTGTTGAAATAGTCTGAGTGTCGATCGCCGAACCGCGAGAATCTGAGATCGAGTTCGAATACCTGCGGGCTCACCCGGAGTTCTCTGCGGCCCGGAGCGTACGCGTATGGGAGGGAGATGAAACTTTCAGCACTGATGCTTCTCAGATTCTGTGTAGGTAACTTAGCGGCAGTGGGTACTGTCAGTCCCACGGTCCGTAACGGCCGTTTTTTGACGGATTGCCGAGGAGCTTTTACATCCAGGAACGATGATATCGGATAACCCGTCAAGCGGACGAGCCTGTCGACGGGTTCAGACGGACGAGAAAGCCCGTCCGTCCCGTTGCCTGTGGCGCGGGGCCGCACCCGCCGCAGTTTATAACGGGCTGCCGCCCACTCACCTCTCTATCTCGTCATGGCCTCCTTACGCTATGTTTCCGGGCTCCTTCTGGCCACTGCATCTATCGTCGTGTCACAGTCCGATACCCTCCCAAGTTCGTTTCCCCACGAATATCCTGGCAAACCTACGGGCGACTATAGTCCCGCCTGGCAGAAATGTGTGTTTCGACTTTGGGTCGTTACTCAATTTCCCCTCTGATGTTATGCCTATCAGATTTCCAAGTCACTGCTCCGCTGCCCAACGTCACCTTCCCATTACCTCGAAGCTTTGCTGGCAACATCGACGTCCAGCGTGCTGGGCACCCCAACAATACGTTATTTTTCTGGGCTCTCGAAAAGACTTCTGGATCCTTGACGGCAGCGAAGAGCACCGAACCTTGGGGTATTTGGCTCAATGGAGGGTCAGTACATCGCTGACGCCTTGCACTATTTTTCTAACCACTTTTGCAGCCCTGGTTCGCCGAGTATGGTGGGGTTCTTTCTCGAGGTAGATTCATCAATAATTTTCCGAGGCGCTTTTGTTTGAACGTGTCATAGAATGGACCCGTTCGCATCGCCGGCCGCCAACGGTACCATCTCCCCAAATCCCTACAGCTGGAACAAGATTGCCGACTACATTTGGATCGACCAGCCAGTGTTTGTGTTTCTGTTCTCCAGAAACATACGTTTCCTTACGGCTGAAATCCAGAGGTACCGGGTTCGCGACGGCGGATGCAGATGGCTACGGTGAGCTTTGGTTCACGTTTCATTGCGGCGGTACTTACACAACGAAAAGTTGCCAACGACGACCAAGTGGGGGCCGACTTCGTGCGTGCGCCTTGATCCTGCTTGATTTTTGGCTAATTTTCTAGTTCAGATGGGCTTCTTGGCAAATCTCGTCAAGGTTTTCCCCAATCTCGCCACACGTCCACTCCATCTCACGGGCGAGAGTTATGCCGGCGTGTAAGTTGTTTTCTCCATATTATTTACAAAGACTGATTTCCGTATGGCGACAGGTATATACCCTACATTATGAAGGTGAGTTGTGTCTACTACACGTCCGTGAAATTTTTACTTCAACCTGATTCTACAAGGCCTATTTTGCGATGGCGAAACCTCCGGTGAAGATTGCCAAGTTCGCTATCGGAGACGGTGTCATTGCGTCGGGCGAAGTGTTCCAGTTTCTCCCAGCGGTGAGTGATAATTACAAATTTCGGGCCAACGGTGAGCTAAAGCTTACCAGCTGAGTGTCCTCGCAACATACCCTCAAATCATCGGGTTCGATCAAGAAGTGTATAATTATTTCAAGGAGCAGTGCGTCGTGTGCCGAAATGTAACCCCATACTAATTAAACGCAGAGAACATCTTTGCGGCTACGACGTAAACTTGACCTATCCTCAGGATGTAATTATTCCAACACTCGACTTCATTGACGCCACCGGACGCAACACAACTTTCCTCTTGAAAACCACATATGCCAAACGCGGCCTTGTTGCAGAAATCACACAGCGCTCTACTGAACTGGAAACGACTGAGCGGGACATTAATCTCACGCCAGCATCAACAAGGAACGTGGAAGCGTGATTTGAGTATGCGCGCTAACGGGACAATTGATCCCTGGGTGAGTGTGATATTCGCAGAGGAGCTTACGGTCTTGCTAATCTTGTTTTTTGCAGTACGGATGTGGGCTTCTCACCGAATTCATTGACTACGCATTGAACTATTCCGCTCCCTGGAACTTCACTGGACAAGATTTTAATGTAGGTGACGATGGCTACATCAACCGTGGGAATTTTATTTCGTGGCGAATAGGTATACGACATCACGGACCCTGACAACTCACCCAGCCTCTCGCCAACGCTCTTAAATGGTTGATGCCTCCAAAAGTCCACCATTTTTCATTCTAAACGTCTTTTCAAACCCACGTACAGTGGCCGCTCTCCACGCACCGACAAGCAAAGCTTGGGCCCAATCTTTCCAGTTTGTGTACGGTGAACTAGGTTTGAATGACCTAAGTATGTATATGTCTGTATCTGTGGGATAGCTCAACTGAATAAATTCTTCGATAGGCACTGTGTACGCCCTTTGCTCTGTTCAGTGTGCAAACCTTGTCTGACGTAACCTCAACAGTCCCATGGATTTTCTGTCCGAACTCGCTACCAATACAACCGCACACAATATCTCAGTTATATTATACTCCGGCAACGACGATGCGCGTATTGCCCACAGGGGAACCGAAGGTGCAGATGATTGCTCTTTATGATTTGTCAACAACTCACAATTTCTCCCAGTGACGATCCAAGTTCGTCCCCCTCAGCCCAATTCCCCTGTACAGTACTCATCATAATACTAGAATACAACATTTGGTGGCATCCAAGGGTTTACCCGCAAGCCATCCACGCCATGGACGGATGACAGTGGAAAGTTCGCGGGCATTGTCCATCAAGAGCGTGGCTGGACCTACGTCCTCTTCAGCGGCGCCGGCCACTTGATCCCCGCCAAGTCGCCTGCATCGGTATGTTGTCTGTCCCTATTGGCTCACCTAAAGGATTTCATTTCATTTTGCAGGCGTTGACGTTCGCCCGTGAATTTGTCTTCGGCAACAACCCCACCGGGTCCGTCATCACCACCCCCGCCGGCATAACCATGGTCGTGGGCGGCGAAGACGCACCTCTCATCGGCGATATTCTCCCTGGTTCGAACGGCATCGTATACGATGCGGGAACGGCGACCTCAACGTTTGTTTACCCCGCAGAAACGATCGCGGCGTGGAACACATTCCTCCGCAAAGAGAAGGCACCAAAGCCTGTTTAAATTATATCGAATTATATCCATAGTCTTGGTACATATCGTATTCAGTACCATGTGTTATGTCTACTCAGTAGAATAGAATGGATTGCACTTGTATGAGGCTTTGAAACGGCGGATCCCGTCGTCACCGAGCGGCACAATGAATCGACATGCTTCATATCCGACGGGGCAAAAGGAAACCGCAGGACGCGAAATTTGTTTTCGTCCGCTAACCTGAATTTTAGGATGACAGATGTACGCCCAGGACGGAAAGGGAGGAGAACTATGTTGGGGTCCGTAAATCGGGGTTACGGGAGATGTGCACATTAGCGGAGAGCGGACCCAAACTTCAACGTTTCAAAATTCAACCCAGTTGTAATTGAACTCAGAGTGGAATGCATTGCACGTGTCTGTTTAACCGAGGATGCAGACGCCTGGCGAATCGACTGCCAATGGAAATAAATAACCGCGACTCACCGCGATATCCACGCGGGCTTGGTGGTGGTCGAGTTTGCCGGTTTATTCGATGCCACTGGGGCGAAAGACGCGTTGGATATCGATAGTCCTCTGGGAGCGCGGCACGACGTGGTGTTCATTCAGGCGGGTTGATTTGGTCAAATTGGTGTTGGATGGAAGGTGTATTTCATGTTGTAATTGTATCGCTCTGCCAAATATTTCTGTGGAGGTTGAACGTTGAACCTACTTGGATAAAGCTCAAACATGAAAAAAAGAGGTGCCACTTTGGCTCTGATTGTCGGCATCCCAGGGGAGACCTGGCCCCCTGCACAATCGTCGCGGTACGCGGGGTCACAGCCCAGGGCGCCCGGCTCGCATTTTGTTAGCACTTCACGGGAATCGAACCCACAGCCTCCCGACGCCGAAACCTTTCGGCGTGCGAGCGTTCTACCACTGAACTAAAGTGACCAACGAAAGTTGAGTCAGTTTGGTGGATACAAACCTGCCTGAATAAAATTCAGTGGCGTTGATGAGAATATAGTTTGATCATTTGGGCTCCAGATGATTCATCCCGAATTCCCTGCCTTGCGTCGAGCAGCGTTGTTCATTTGCGTTGGAATTCTTGTTCAAGTTTATCACAACTTGAAAAACTTGATCACGAAGGAAACAGAAAGAATTATCAGCCAACTCGTAAACGACTACCCTATACTACTTGGTGGCCATGGAGCCCCAGTGAGCCTCGATTAGAAAGGCGTCGATTCGGCGTGCTGCAAAATGCATGGAAGAATATGGCCGAAAGCAGAAATGCCGCGACATCAACACGTATACGTACTATCTGCAAATACCTCCGCGGGGCTAACGACGCGTCAGTGGCTGTGCACTCGGTACCTCTGATTACCATGTCAGCCCTCGCTGCAGCGGTCAACGACGCCCTGCTCGCATTTATGAGCTCTGCAGAATTTCGACCACCCCATCCTCCCACTTTATCTCAAAAGTACTGGGACGACGTTGTCTCGGTCACGATACCCGTAGACTGTCGCTCTTCCCGATTCGACGTCTACGTTGACCAGGGGAAGCGCGTTTTCGCTCACGCCCTTTTTCTTGCTACTGCGGATACAGATCAGCTTCAGAAGATGCCGGTGGGGTTTACATTGGTGAGCTTTGTCAAGATCCACCTCATTTTCGGCGCTTCACAGCGCCTCTGCAGTTCGTAGAAAGGACCCTCTCTGCAAATGGAATCCTCGTAGAACTGGTTGAGAAAATTGACCGCCGAACAGTTGTGAACAATGTTGGCGTGGTGCAACAAGGCTTCTTTGCCTTTGTGGGTGCCCTCTGGAACCACATGAACCGCGACATGGCTCTGACTTCCGCGTGGCTCCTGCGCCTCATCCAACCCCTGATACGGGTTGTCACCGAAACTTATATTCCCAAGTGCGTTCATCTTTGTCGCGTTCTGCCGAATGTACTGAAGCCGGATGTCTAGTCTCAAACGCAAAGAAGGTCCTTCGCGGATAAAACTCCACGGTATGTCTCATCCACTGTTCAGTTGCGATTCTAATCAGACTTTCCAGCAATTGCCATTGCATTCCTCCGCAATGTAAAAAAGATACAAGACCTCCCCCTTCGGTCAGAGGAGTCCGATTCATCTTTCGAGTCGACTTCATCTGCGAGTCTCTTCTTCTATCCGAATCCGTTCAATTCTCACTCTTGTGTTTTGAAGACTTCTAATATGTCGGTCGACATCGCGGCCCCCTCAGCACCGCCTCTCTACGCTTCCCCGGAGGTGAGCGTTATTTTTTCGCTTGGTTTTATACCGTTGTATCTCGAACTCTGTTTCAGAATCCGATTCCCCCGTTCGACCCGTCGGCGTTCAGTCCCCTTCCATCGGAGTTACTTGGCAGGCGCTCGGACACTTCCCCCGCCGCTGACGCTGGGACCCCCGATTACGTGCGACTGGTACGTTCATCTTTTCCCAGAGGGTTAAATTTTCTTATTGGGAACAGGCAGACATGGGTCACCGACCTTTCCTTGTATGTTCATCCATTAAAAACCATCTATTCTTCCAACTGAAAACATTGGATCCTCAGAGCCTCTGGCCGCAGCCGGAACTTCCCAGTCCGAGTGGGATCATCGAGGAGCTCGACGACGTACGATACCCAGTCCCTAGATCGTCGTTGTACTGAACGTGACCCAAACTCAGCGCGAAGCCCGCCGTTCCAGCGATTCGATCAGCGACGGGTGGCTGCAACCCGCGTTTGAACTTACCGCCTCCCCGGGCCCGGAACTCTCCTTAGGGGTGCTTAGCATCTCTCGTCCTGAACCTGCTTAGCATTCTGATGACCATTTCCCTTTTGTGTAGATTGAATCCTGCCCTTGTGGCAGGTCCTACTATAGGTTTACACAACCTCCAAGTGACTCGCCAGGGTCCGGTGGCTGTCTTAAGCCCTCGGAAGTAACTAATGCATTCCTTCATAACCGTTTATAATGACCTGACGGCATTCTTCCAGATGAACCCGGCTGGATATAAGGTATGTAGCGATAACCAGCGCTGTTGGTATCCGTCGAGTGCTTGTTTCCAGGAGGTTTTTGGGCTTCAAGCATCGTCGAGTAGCGCGAGCGACGCAGTGGCGGTACCGTCTATCGCAAGTGTTTATTTCACCGTCCACGCGTAAGATTCCAATTCAATTTCAGGGCGACTCGTCCCAGACGGCGCCTACTTCGGAACTCGGCTCGGAGCTGTTGGAGGTGCTTAGTCGCACAACTGGCTAAAAATTAAGATGAACTTTTCACTGTTAGCAGTTCTTGACTCGAGAACCGGAGCCGCCGTCCCCAGTAGGTCGATAATATGTTTATCGACGCTCTTATTCATTTTTTTTCCAGGCTGTGATCCAAGGCACCCGTCGCCCCTTGACTCCGCGCAACCTTGAGTACCCCTCGGAGTTGCCCGACGTGAAAGGCAAGGACCGCGAGATTGTCCCGATACCCCGCTCGGAGTCGTAGTGAGCATCGGTTTTTATTTCCGGTGCCATGCCGTACTATTAGTGCAGTCGTTTCTCTCTCATATTTACTGGGCATCTCCGCAGGACTAGATCAAGTCGTCGGCGTTCATCCAGGATATCGGTGTACTCAATATACATCCACTCGTCGTAAGCTCGAAGTTTGTCTTATCTATCTCGAGTTTTCACCTCCCATTACTCCAGAATCCCCTGCATAACACTGCGTTAGCATCGCGATTTCTTTTCCATAGATCCCCGTCTCGAAGTACGCACCGAGTTCTTTTACCCTCTCTCATACTTACAATACATCCCTCTAGATCCTCTTATAGCGCCGCAGTCGGTAGCGTTCAGTATCAAGTATAGACTGTTTTTCCATTCGAAGCAAATAAAGTATGCTCTTTGTGTCCGCAGCTGCTGTAGAGAATGATTAATTTGGTGCCGAGTCTTCGTCGTCTGAATCCTTCCAACCAACTCCCAAGTTTACTATTTCAGAATCGCGAATCGGCGATCTATTATCGTCTATTTTATCTTTCTTTTACCCCGCAGAAACGATTGCGGCATGGAACATATTTCTCCGCAGAGAGAAGGCATCAAAGCCTGTTTGAATTACTTATATCTAACGATATTCATATTCTTGTTACTTACATATCCTAAGCAGTCCCTATCGTCACCGAGCGGCACGAAAAGGAAACCGCAGGATGCGAAATTTGGCCCCGTCCGCTAACCTGAGTTTTGGGATGTACGTCCAGGATAGAAAGGGAGGGAACTATGTTAGGACCCGTAAATCAGGAGTCCGGGAGATGTGCACATCAGATGAGAGCGGATGTAAACTTCAACGTTCAAAATTCAACCCAGTTGAGGTTGAACTCAGAGCGGAATGAATTGCACGTGTCTGTTCTATCGAGGAAATATGTTCCCGTCTAGGCCCGGCGCACTTTAGATAGTTTACGGAGTTTTGCCCAGAGCATCGTTGTAGTATACCAACGTGTCGACGGTAATTGATTTCATCACAGTTTACTGAAAATCCTGCAGAACAAAAAAGCTCTCATTCCGATAGCTCATTTGCGCCGATTTCATAGAGTTATCGAAACGCATGCGTACACACGCTAAAGCAGTCATATTCGAACCAGTGCCGCATGACGGCACCAGTCGCACACAATGAAATACATACAGAGATATCCTTCGAACCATTCGTACAACTTACATGACGATACAGGTCGGGCCACGCGGTGGGGCAGGCGGGGCGTTATCTTTCTCAATTTCCGCAAGACAGAGCTCAAAGACCTTTCCTGTAATTTCGCGCATTGTGGAGGGTGAATATCCATCGGAAAAGAAATGACCACGACTCACCGACGTTCTCGTTACGCAGCGCGCTCGCCTCAATCCACGCGGCGTTGTTCCTCTCCGCGAGCTGCTGCCCGTCCTTCGCGTCGACTTGACGGCTGTATGTGGAATTTTTATTATTAGTATGATGAATTTTTGGTGTGCGTACAGACCTCATGTGCAAATCCGCTTTGGACCCCACAATAATCGCAGCGATCTCTGAGAGCCCAGAGTAGTTTACGATCTTGTCGTATAAGATTTGGATCATATTGAACGACGCGCGCGAGGCGATCGAGTAGACTAGTACGTAGCCGTGTATTCCAATGGCGTGCTGAGACTTCAGCTGCGAGAATTCATCCTGCACCCAATCTGAGTCCGTTGTTCGAACAAGTAAGCGGTCAGGCTGCGGCAGCTGACCTGTCCCGCCGTGTCGATGATCTCGCACGGGTACTCAATGCCGTTGTACGTGATCGTCTTGGTGGCTGCCGTCTCGAGTGTGGGGTAGTACGACTCGGAGAAGTTACCGTCTACGAACTGCTTCACGAGCGAGGACTTGCCTGGCGGGGGGTGTGAGGGGGGACACGCAAGCCTGTGGGAAGAATTAAAAAAACGCTCACGCACCAACCGAGCGAGAGCCCAGGATGACAATCTTGCGGGTTTTGAGGGTTACAGGTCCTGGCATGGGCGCAACTAGTTGTGGGAGGCAGTCAGTACTACTAAGTAGTGCTTCCTGGTCCCTGGTGAGTCGTGGTCGAGGATTAAAAGCCGCGGCATCAAAACGGCTGGAAGCACGTCGATCCTGATTCTAGAGCAAATCTTTCGCGTAATAATGATCCTCCGCGGGGCCGCTCGAGGCACCGACCAGCACACGATGACATGCACTTGACATGCACTAACAAAAATCCTCTATGTCTTCAAAATAAAAAAAGTAAATATCCTAGTCGTTACAATAAAGTAAATATGGGTGCTATGCACGCAAGATGTCCCTAAAATCCAACCCCAACCGAAGCCTACGTCCGCCGACTCCAAGGCCCAAAATACCTTGAATCAAGCCCCATGGAACTCGAAGCAGTTACTGCACATCCCCTTCGGCTTGAACGGATTCTGCTTAAACTCCGTGCACCCGTTCCCGCTCGCGCCTACAGACGA